TGAGAATATAAATGAAAGGTATACGTACGTATAAGGACTCCTCGGCGGGTGCTAGGATACTAGAATTGTACATAGAAATGCGGGAACAAAGGTATCGAGCCTGTAGCGAGTGTGGATGGCAAGAAGCAGACTGGAGGACGCCTCGGAGCTTGAACCGTGTTCACCGGCGAGCGGCCCGTTTCTTCGTCGCCAGGGGCAGCTATTATATAGTAGTAAATATCGTAACGACTCTTCTTGGTCCGCGCGACCGTGCACCACCGGCTTGGTTAACGTGCAAACCGCTAACCACGAGTAATTATGTAATTGCCAAAGAATTACTTACCGGTCTCGATGGACCCACGGTCCGTCATTCAGTGACATTCCGTCCTTTTTACGATGCTCTGAGTGGCGGGTCGTTGTCTTCGGACTCTCTCTTCTTCTTTATCTTCGTCTTTCTACTTGTGATAGCCGAACGTGGCAGCTGCTACCTTGCTCCCTTACCTTTATACTGGCACTTTTCTAATTTTCACCGGTCAGTATTCGTGAGAGAAAGGGGGAACTTTTACTGCTGCGAGGAAAAGGGAGGAGGTGCAATTGTAACAGCACATTAGTATTCGAATCAGGACCAAAAGCTTACGTTTATATTTGAAAAAACAAGCGAGTTTGGTATTTCGCTTTTACGGGGAACGATACCGTAATGTCTTCCACCTGCTGTTAGAGGGAAATTATTGCAGCAAGTAAAAGGCTACGCAACGATTCAAAGGTGGTCCGTGCCGAGAAGGATGAAATCTGAGGGATCACGTAGAGCGACAGGTCGTGTTCGAGCAGCAGGTAATCATAACGTCCAGTGGCGTAAGCTGTGCGCTGCTTTCGTGCAAAGGGTAGAAAGCTTGAACGATCGTTGTCGTCGATAACGAACCCCGCCTATCCGCAACAGCAACAAATTGGACCTCCATAATCGCGGTAATGCATCAACCGCGGTGCACCGGTGTGACGGTGAAATTGCGGCAAAGTCCTCCCGCGAAAAGGGTTCATCTTATCGAGATCGGATTAAGTACGCGAGAAGCATTGTATTCGTTAATCGGACACAAACGCCGCGCTCCGGCTCGGCACAAAGTGCTGCCATTTTTACGTGGAGGCTGTAATCAACGCGCAATACGGCCCCACTTTGTATTAATGGCGAATGCTGCTAACCGCGAACGCTAGCGCTCTCGGCATCGTTCGAATTATTTAGGAATCGATTCAACAAAATATGCACTTATAAATTCTTTCTTCATCGACGAGCTATCGAACAATTAAACGAAAGAATCGTCGTGGTCGGAAAGAAAGCCGAAGCAGCAGGTATTTATCCCCCTCGTGCCCCAAAATCAAATTACGGTAATCCCGATTTCGATGATCGATACAGTGATTGTTTGCTAATGATTTTTGGCAGGTGCACCGTTCAAGAAAGGTAGTAGGGTTCTACTCGAAATAACATAGCACCGTGACCGCATCTTTTTGTTCAATTACATAAATGCTACGTAAATTTATGATCTTTATTGATCCTAGCTTGATATCGAGTGCTCCTTTATTATATTTTTTATTACATAAACCTTTCAAGTCGTCGAACAAAGAGAGGCTCCTCGGCTCGGTGAACGAACTTTGCTTGAAAGAATCGCGTGTCTTCGACTGCTTTGGTCGCCAAAGGGAAACGAAAATCGCGTCGCAGGAATTGATGGTCAACGGAAGACTTGTCACGTTCGAGCAGCGATAATCGGTCCTTCCAGATGGCCACGGTGGTCGATCGCGTGCATTGTCAATCCATCTGATGTAGGGTCGTACCGGAAAAGCTCTGCGGTTAAACCTGAACGTCGATTCTCTAGATTTCGTTTAACCCATTCACAGATTGTCTTCAAGAAAAGAGTATCACGTAAACGTGGAAGACGAATACATTGCCGATTCTCTCGATGAAACGTACGTTTAATGAACATATTCATCATACGGTCGTTTAGAGTGCGCGCATGTTGGTAGAGAAAGGGTTAATTTTCAGTTTAAATTGCTTACCTGTCACTTATAAACAAATACCTTTATTTCATCGAGCCCCGTCTTTTCCCTTTGCACGCGTCTTGACCGGTATCCTCGATGGTTAAAATCGGCCGCGTGCACCGAATTTTAATAAGGAACGGTGCAAGTCCTGGGGCTCGTCGACGAATAAATTGATTTTCAAGTGAGTTCTCTCGTCAAAGTGTCCGCTTCAATCATCATCACTAATGAAGTTTCTACACACCATCGTTTATACCCCGGCATTAAGTATCTACCTTACAATTTTGCCATTCAACTTCGTAACATTTGCTTAAATATTCCCCTGGGCTTCTTTTCCATGGCTGTTGAACGGTACAATTTCGTAGAATCAAGCACCGAATTATGTCAATTGCTACCTACTGTTTTTCGAGTTAATTGCGTTTTAAATCTGATTGCAGATAAACGCATCTTTCTATTCAACCTGTAATTACAATTAAGTTTAAAACGTTGTAACCTTATTAATATTTCCCACAATCCTACTTTGGACAATCGTAACGTTACTTCTTAGGTGGAATAGGTACTACGATCGACACCGGATCGATAGATCTGTGGAGAACGATAAGGTCGATCTGCTTCCCGAGCGTGGATCCTCTCGCGTAATGCACAGTCCGCTAGCCAGAGACCGGATGGGACGCGACATGTGCACGACGCCGAAATTACCGTGGCGATTTTTATCTTAGCCAAGATACGAGGGGCCGATATTCACGGTTCGACATGGAAGCTTGCCTGCGGCGTCTGATTAAACGACCGACTGGCCACGCTTCTAACATGTATTTAGAGCGCACTTATACGCCTCGGACTCGGACCAGGCCCATGGTACCTGCTCGTACCAGCTCGATTAGTTCGACCTGCCGAGTATCGTGTTCTTCGATTAGCCTATACTGCCCTCCTTACCCTATCATTCTCCTAACCAACGCTCCGAAATATTCGAGAAAAATCAACTTTTATCGTGTCCATTGCGCCGTCGAATTTTCACCCCTAGAGAAAAACGGTCAGAAACAGTAGGCAGTCTGTGATGGCAACAAGTGACAGGTTGCAACGATGGTGTTCTCGTTATAACTTTCTTGCTATCGCGCATCGATCCTATTATGGGATTATAATTGAAGGGTAATTTTCGTAAAAAACGTATACCTTGCCAACTACGTGGTAATTTATTATACCTCTCGAACGATACCGGTGTCTCGTGTCCTTATTATGGCTACAATGAAGAAGAGCTTGAAATTGGTAAGCAGTTCGATAAAAAATGATCGGTATACTTGTTACCTGTGAAATATAATTGGACTGTTCTTGAAATGTTCTGTTTAGAAAATTCGAAAATTTCTTGATAACGTTTATTCGTTTGGTGGTAGGAAAAATTAGTTAACGATTAGCAAGTTTCGAAGAACAATAAGGTTACACCGAGCAGCCGCAATTTTAATTACCCAAGCACTAAGTGGGCTCATAAAAAAGTGTTACGCGTTAACCTTTCAAGCGAGAAATTTCTTGATCGTAAGCGGCCCCTGCGCGTGCCATTAAACATGAATAACGATGAGCATACTGCTCTTGAGAATTGCAAATAAGACGGGTTTGATGTTGACTCTGATACGAGCACTCGTGATGTAATCGAGTCAAAATATGTCAAACGATTCTCACTCAAGTAATCTGCCAAAGTTGAAGCTATAAATACTTTGCTTATAACCGATTTGATTTCTTAAAATAAACTCACTTTCGAGTCTTGGCGAAGATTTTAATTTCGTAAAAAAATTAGCAAGACATTGAATTTTGTCGAATCTAATTTCTTAGAAGCTATATGTAGAACCTATACAAGTCGAAGCTGATCTGGCAAGAAGAGAGAATGAACACGAAGGAAGGAGATAAATGGATTTGGCGTGGTTTCGAGTACGCGTACTCGACCGAGTAGACCTTTATTACCACCTCCTCTTGGTCGGATCGCGCACGACAGGTGTAACGTAGGAGAACGGGGGTTGGAGAGGTTGCTGGATCAAAAGAGAAAGAACGAGAAGAACGAAGAACGAAGGACGAAGACGAAGAGAAAAGGAAAGAAGAAAATGGAAGAAGGCGGTCTTTGGTTAGACTTGGCTCGCCCATCAAGCCTCTGCACACCCCCGACCTCTTTCCATCCCTATGCTTTCATTTCGCGTTATCGTATGTGTGTGTGTGTTGCAATTGCTTCAATGGAGATTTCATCGGTTTATTTTGTTTTTTCTTTGTAACGCTGCGTGATCTAGCTTGTTTTATGTATACGATGTCAGATCGGAAGGGTTAAAAGTCAAGGACATCAGAAGCTCTCCTTGACAGGCCAGCAGTAGGTGCTGTATCCTTCTTCTTTCCATTTCTTTTTCAATACAGCGATCGGTATACCACTTCTAATCATGACTCACCCAGCTCGATTCCTCTCGAGAGTCTATTTTGCGTGTACCCGTTATTAAGCGGCCAGCTCGTATGTTAGCGGTCCAAGGAATCGAAGGTGCTAATCTAATCTGTCTGGTCGATTAAAGGTCGGTTGTGTGTTCCGTGATGGGAAGCCATGTCCGAACCAGAGACCGGTCCACTTACGTACATACATACGCGCGTTGTCGTTGTAATTAAGCGTCGCTCTGAACCGTACCGGTATACTCCTAATTACCGTGGACCACGGTTTTCGTTTTTCTTTACCAGGAAATTCAGCCGTTGCAAAATTCTCCTGTAACTGGTGTTCGTCTGGTGCACGCCCGCGAGATTTCTCGTTTCAAGAGGATTTCTTTCGCAGTAAACGAGGTCGAGTGTTCCAGGTCGTAGGTTTGATCGAGTATTCGAATTGAGGAAGAATTCGTACGATTCCACGAGTCTCAGACCTTGTTCTTATTGCACCAATTCATCAATCTGCCACAATATTTATACTTGAAATAAATGTTCCATACATCTGTCGTGAGTAGAATATATGCCCCATGGTATGCCCATAAATAAATGCAACGTCCAACTTGAATCAATTCTTATAGATATTTATTTGTACAACGACGAACGATTCTCGAAGACCCATGTCCTGCGCAAGGCTGTTCAGAACAGGTGCGAGGGGGCGTAGAACAGGCTCGATTGATTTCGATAGGTATTTTATTTTCATAATGATGAGTGTTCTTTATAATCGATCTATAATATCATACATCATAGCATTCCGTTTATACATAATTACAATTGTAAATCTGGTTCGCCCTTAGGGGAGTGTAATTGATAGCGAGTTCGTCGCGTGTTCGACGAAATTTTAGGCGATACGTGTAAAACGCGTAGGCTCAGGCGCATAGAAAAAAGCTTTTTACCCTTCTAAATTTCTTTCCTCTGCTCTTCTCTGTTCGTTCGAAATTTGAAATGCTGACCGTGCCACGCGGTACAATCGCGTACAGACTACGAAAATAACGTATACAATGTAGGTATATACAACCGAACGAATGAAAAAAACGCGATCGGTTAACACTTCCGCTTAACAAAGGGAAGTGATCTATGCACGCGACCGGACGAGAAGAAAAATCTTCGCGGCAGTGCCCGCTACTGGCCGCTGGTACAGTGTGTGTCGTGTAGGATTCCTAGGAAACAATAAATAAAATCTATCTATTCTCATTTTATCTAGCTCGAGACGACGTCCGTCACTTTGATTTTCTGGTCGATCGGTGGTCGCTGCTTGCACACCGCCACCGTCTCTTCCTCTCACTCTCGTTTCAACGCGTTCGCTGTCGACGATAATCTTTTTCAAAATTATTTCACTCGGTCCTAGAGTTCTGGGAATAAAATCAGGGAATTAAACTTCAAATTCGAGAATAATAATCAAACTCGATCTTACCCAACAGTGAACGCGCGAACAAACGGCCTTTCATTTGAAAAATCGCGCTCCAATTTAGCTGCCTATTTAAGATCCTCAGCCTTGGCTCGATTTCCCGGTCCAAAGATCGGTTCTTTACAAGCCTTTACAAAACTATCGTCCGATAGCTTACCTTGATTAATTGCGCGATACATCGAAAGGTACTATGTTTAATATATACAGCAGTAGTAATTGATTACTGATTAAATAGTGGCATATTTACTAAACGTTACATTATCACAACGATGATAAAATCAGCCGGAAGATCGAAACTGGAGCGAGTTCGATCTTTCCGGTTGTCGTTCGTTCTTCTATCGACCTTCTCCTTCTCCTCCTCCTCCTCCTCCTCCTCCTCCTCCTCAATCTTACCGCCTTTTCGCTTACGCGGATACAGAAACGAAGAAACGATTTGCTGTTAAATCGAATGCCGAGAGTTTCTACTCTTGGGAACGGGAACCTCTCTAAAACAAGGAGAACGCATAATCGATGACGTGTAAGTACTCTTTTCCTGGTCGCCAGTCGGCTTGAACGAAGGAACACTGTCGGAATTGAGGGATCATGTTGTGCGGGTTAAGTGGACGAAATTTCAGACTCCAGCCGCGCGGCTGGAGGTTTCCGAATTGACTAGATTCGAGCACCTTGCGTTTTAAGAAAATAAACTGAGGAACGCGTTGAATCGTTGCTGCGTTCACCAGGAGGTGTCCCGTTCCTTTATTGCACGTTTACGTTGAATGGACGGAGTCGGTGTTTGGCCAGGCTGGCGAGTGTCCGGCCTTCCACCGACCCCATCTATAATCGAGATCATTGGCGATCGGTCGAATCGTCGGAATTTTGGCATCACAGTAGAGGGTAATAATCGCGGCCGTAAAAGGAGATCGGTCACGAGCCACTGGTCGAGAGAACCGGTAAGTCACGATGGGCCTGTGGGTCCTTGGAGTGCGCGTCTCTGACCGCTCTAGAACCAAAGACCCGATCGCAGCCAGGTATAGTGCACCTGGCCTCTTCCTTTCGATCGTCGGAACCCGGCGAAGACATCGGGGAACCCGAACCAGAGACGTGTCTGGTTCCTTGCTCCTGCGACATCCTGGTCAGATGGTTCAGATGCTGATGAGTCAAGCCGTTCAGGCCGGCCAGATGAGACGCGAACGAGGAGAGACCGGAAAACGTGGCTCCCAGATGCGGCGGTAGGAGGAGAGGGTGAGGCGGTGGTATTCTCGCGGCGAGATCGACCGCTGAAGGTAGTCCAGGTGTCAGAGGGTAAGCACCAAGAGCGCTGATGCCGGCATCCGCGTACAGTCTCGCGAGGAACTCGTTGTGTAACAAAGGATTCATCTGGGAATCCTCGACCCTGGGCGATAAACTTGGCGGCAAGCTCGAGGAGAGCGGAGGACTGGACGAGGTGGACAGTAACTTCCGATGAAGATTCAAGTTGGCCGAGTGCCTGTCCCGAGACCTCTTCGATGGGAAGGCGGCGTTACACCCGTCCACGCTGCATCGATGCATCAGCTTCAGGTGAACGTTCTGATAGTGAGTCTTGACCCCGAAGTGATTTTGAAACACCTTGCCACAAGCGGTGCAACGACGAGGATTCTCCCGGTCCAAGGGTACCTCCTGGGTGCTGACGAAACCACCGTTCTCGTATCGGGCATAGGTGATCAAGCTATTGTCCGTATCCATGGCCGCTGTGGAGGGTGAGGCGCTGGATGAACGAGAGCCACGTGAGGAATTGTCCATGGTGGTCTCCTGGTGGGTCGTGAGGCTGACGGGGCTGGTAGAGCCGCGGCCAGACCTCGAAGCCGCCTGCTGCATCCCGGTGTACTGCATCGCGCGACCCTGCGACAAGGACTCGAGTTGACGCAAAGTGTTGGTCGAGGAGTCGTGGGAGAGGTCGTCGGCTGTCGTCGGACGGCTGTCGACCGAGCTCGGGGCACGGGAGGGATCATCAGGACGCTCACCTTCTTGATTGCGCAGCGCGTCGTTCACCTCCTCATCATCATCATCCTCTTCCACCTCTTCCATCGGTTCATCCTCCTCCTCCTCCTCCTCCTCCTCCTGGTTTTCCTCTTCTTCCTTCGCTTTCTCCTCCGCCTCGCCCTCCTTTTTCGCGCACCTTCTAATCGACTTCTCCTCCTCCTCCTTAGTCCCCTCCTCGAGTTTGCATTTAACGCGATCCCCTTGCTCCGGGCAGCTTCTCGACTCTTTCTGAACGTTCGTTGTCGCAGGGGTGGTGGTTTCAACAGGATCACCTTCCGCCGGCTCGTGAGACGTCTTTGGTTCCGGACTGATCTGCCTTTTCGGTGACTTTGAGCTTAGATCCCGCGGTTGCTCCTCAGCTAGATCCTCCGTGTTCTCCTGAGAGGCGACAGTATCGCGGTGTACCGTTCCAATCGCTGCCCTCTCTCTGTTACACGCTTCCGGCGAACGAGAGTTCGATTCCTGATCGTTGAAGCTAAGCGTTTTCGGAGAACTCGGCGTGGTTTTCCGTCCCTCTGCCTCTAGTCTGGACATCGACATGTCCTCGGGTTGATTCTGAAAATCGTTCATCGACGAGATACCTGCACTTTCTGATAGACATCGGCGCTGGATCCTGTCCTCGTCGTTGGACGAGTCTCCGTCGGTGGAAGAGGAATGAATCTCGGTCAACACGGCACACCGAGTCGGATGCTGAGACTTTCTCTTTCGGACACCTCTGCTGTGCAAGGACGTAGAGTTCAAGGAGTGTTGACTTACTGAATAGCTCTGTTGATCGAGCGTGCCCATCGAGTCGTTGTCCTCGTTGCTATCCGGGTTGCTGACAAGGTCTTCGTCCACGGTATCGTGGCCAAAGTAGAGTTTCGGTCGTTTCGCCAGGCTAAAGTCAGCCGGCTGATCGTCGTCCTCTTCTCCGGAACGGAGGGGCAGTCTAGAGGGTAGATTACTCGTATCATCCTCCGCGACGACCACGATGCCGCCGTCCTCGTCCTCCTCTTCTTCCTCGCCTTCGGCCGCCGCGGTCGAGGCTTGAGTCGAGGGAGAGACGGTGTCAGCCGCGCTACTGCCCGAGAACGAACCTCTGGTCGCCATGGTGGTGTTGGGCGTCTCGATGGCGTTGCTCATCGCGGCGGTGGCGGTGGTGAGCGCCGTCGTCGACATGCTCGCGTTCACGCTCATTCTCTGCTGAAGCGTCTCCTCGTAGCCTGGTCTGGCCTGGTTCTGAGCGGACGACAGGTCCAGGTGTTTAAAGTCCAACCCGCATAGAGAGGCTGGCGATCGAAGATCCGGAGGTGGGGTCAACAGCGGGAACGAGCCGAAAGGAAGGTGATTTAGCCCCGGAGCCGGGACAGGCAGACCAACCTGAGGAGGCAAAACCAACGCGTGCGCCATGGACGAACGGCCGTCGTGCGGGGAGATCTTCCGTCGAAGGTGAGGCGAATGGAGTTTCGGGTTCGGATTGGCGCTGTGTCTATTGCGCGATCTCCTCGAGCTGAACATCATGCTGCACCCCGTCACCGTGCACTTGTGCATTTCTCGCAGATGCACCGCACTGAAGTGAATCTTCAAAGCTCCCTTGTCGCAGAAGGTTTTCAAACACACGTTGCACTGTACCCTCTTTTTCCCGGTGGTCGGATTGATGAACGGCGTTCCGAGATTGGGCGGTATGTTGGCGGATGCGCCCCATTGGCTACCGGGTCGTTTTCCAGGAGAATGAGGCTTTCTGCCAGGAATACCCGGAGGCCTGCCGAGAGGAGCAGCCTGTAGAGATAGCGGCGGATGGTGTCGGTGTTCGTTGGCGTGCTTCGAATCGCGTCTACTCAGATTTAGGGCACTGTCCGAATTTTCCTCATCCTCCTCGTCTTCCTCCGAGCCGAATTCGCTGCTCTTCTCCCCACCGCTGTGGACGTCGGTCGGTGCCGTGATACCGGTCACGGCCCCGGAGGACTTGCCCATAGGCGGCGGTGGAAAATGAGCGGGAAAGCTGGGCGGAAGCGCCCCGGAGGATACGGCGACCGAGAGTGGGTGTCCAAAATTGAGCGCGGACGAAGATACCGGGGCTACAGGTGGCATATGAGGCCTCTGCAACTGATTGCTGGTCGAATGGTGAGGCGGACTGTGCGGACTATGCGGGTTCCTCATCGACTTCCTGTTCTGAAGTAGCTGTTCCGTGGATGGTGGCGGTGGTATAGGCGGAAATGCCGGTAGACCTATGGTGCCCAGTTTTCGAAAGTCGAATGGCTGCATGCTCTGCAGTCTGTTCAACGGCGACACCGTCAAATGTGAATCCAAGCCTCTTGGTGGCGAATTGGCGGTGCTGGTCACCCCGGCATTGCCACCGGCCATAGAGGAATAGTGTTTTTGGGCGGTTGGCGACATCGACGGATGCGATACGGATGGAGGCGGCGGTGGCGGCGGCGGCGGCGGCGGCGGTGGCAAAGGAGGCGGCAACCTCGAGCCTGGAGGCGGGAGACCGCAGTGGAGAAGGTGTAAAGATGGTGGTAAGTGTGCTAGTGGCATCGTCGGCGGCGAAGGTCGTCTGCTTGGTGACATAGCATCCGTCCCCGGCGTTCCGGCGGCCAGCAGCAACTGCTGCACGAATGGACGCGTTTCGGCGAATCTGAGGAACTGCTGTAACACCAGCGGCTCCTCTTCAGGAGAGCAGATGCTCCATCGGTCCAGCACCGGGCCGTTCTGCGAATTCTGCCAACAAATTAAACGGATTCCGTCAATTTTACCGATGCAGATAAATCTCGTTTATCCAACAATTAATTTCTTCATTGTTTTAAACGGTCCAGAGTGCAAGCAAGAACGTTGTGTGTCACGGTCAGTTGTCAATAAAGAGTTACGTAAATTATAACGTTTCACAATTATTTAGTAAATTTCCTTTGCATCGAAATCTCACAGTATCTCACAGTTAAATCGTTCGAACTTATTACATTTTCTCTATTAAAATTATATAGGTACCTATATTATATCAAAAGGAAAAAACGGGAAAAAATGCAAATTATTTGTGATGCACTTCTTCGAGTCGCCTAATTACGTTGAAAAGGCGCAATCTAGCGTGGCGAGTTGCTTATGATAATTCCATATCCGGATAAAAACACTTCCTCTATTCGTCTAGCGTGGAAGGCCGCTTACGTAACTACCTCGTACATTGTATAGAACGATTAATAAGAGCGGATCAATGAATAACGAACCTAATTTATTCTCTTTAACAGCAGCAGCAGCAATTAGTTCTACTTCAGTTGTCACATAGTATATATCCTTCTGATCCGTCGTCTGCTTCCAATAAGTCAACGTTGTTTAATCGATTGGGATTAAAAACGAACGTGGAATTACATACAAGGCTTTCTGGGTAGACTGTAATTTTACGTTCTACAAATTTTTTTATACCTTTGATAAGTAAGCGTTCATTAAGTTGTTGCAATTTTAAATGGCATTGTGATTTCGAAATAGAACAAGCCTGGGAGAAGAGATAATTTTAAATGTTATAAAATGTGACAACACTCTGACGTTGTTTCGTATGGTTTTCTCCTCCGGTGTTCCTTGAATTTCGTTACACCTGTTCTTCGTCGAAAGTCAAGAACATTTCTTAGCGAACGATTAACAGGGCGTGATAAGAATTTTCGTTTTTATTACGATCGGATGTCGATTCGCTCTGTTCCATTGGACTTTCCAATATTCTGATAATTAGCAGATGGAATTTTTGCAACGGTCTTTTTCTTTTCCGTTCCCTTTACCTCTGAACTTGATTAAAAATTCGTGTTATTAATTTTTTATCAGATTAAAGTATAAAATATAGCTGAGCGGAAGCGATATGTCGGTAAATCTAGGATGTTGGCCGAATTTCGAGTCACGGTTTCATATATAAAATCAGGGTGGCCAGCGTATATAGATCTCGGGGCCGTAAGCTTGTCTCTCTCGGTTGGTCTTGTATATTTACGCATACCGACGGGCTCGACGTAACGCAGGACGGACGGCCAGCGGCGCGACGCTTTTCGCGTCCCGGCTGTATATTTCTTCAAGCACGCACACGCGGCCGCGAACGACGTACAACCGGCGTGAACTCACGACCGACGCCGATCGACGCCGACCGACGCCACTCCAAATCCGATCGAGCGCCGCGGGTTCTGCGTGTGCGTTATTTTTCGAGTTAGGCGTCCAGCTGACCGCATAACCAGCGCCACCGAAAATCGCTGCTTTGTAACACGAGACAACCGCCCCTTAATTTTCAATTCAACCCCTTACAGAAAAAGCTGACCGATTTATTAAATTAAGGACAGATCGAGGTTGGAGCTGCTTCAGCGAAGGAACGAACGAGCGGAGAATTACGGGACACCTGGTCCAGGACACGAGGACACTGACCTCGCAGAAAACCGAATTTTAAGCGAAAGAATTTTAACACGCTCCCGTCAAGTGTTTCCTTAAAAGATCGTTAATAAATTGTGAGAACAAGCAAAAAATCAGCTTCAAAAAGTCTCTAATTCCGTGACACTCTGGTGCAAAATGTTTCTAGCAAGAACAAAGATCAGCCTTATCATTAAGCAACATGTACACAAAAAAGAAGAAACGTCTGCAATTTTTGCTTGGACCAAGCCGTGATGTCTCGCCAACTCCAAACAACGCGGAAAAAAAAAATACCAGACGCACTAAAATCCGTCGAACGATCGAAAAAATTTTCTCTAAACGCAGCGTGTCGCCTGAACACGGCGTTCGGCTCAACAACATTCGGCTTTCTCGTCTCTTTCTTCGATTTTGCGGTTACGCCCCGCTAAATATAAAACCGTTCGACGAAACGTTACGTTGACGACGCCGTCGTGAAAGCATCGATGGTCCAACGCTTCTATTATACTCTCAATCTTACGTGTGAATTACGTTGGACAATTTCAAAAATTTCTCCATCCCTAGGAAAATTAAATAAATCAACTAACGTAAGAAGGTGTCCGCGATTTCTCCCCATAAACGAGACCACTCGACACATCTCGTAACGAAATTGAATCTGTCCTTTCCAGATTGCTAAAAACCAAACGGAAGTTTACGATTCCCCTAAAAACAGTCACCACGAACGCCGTCTCTGGGAAAAGTCAGGTCCTCCATCGACAAAAAGCTCTGATTCTCCACTTTCACCTTTAAACAGAGTTAAACAGAATCACAGCCAGAAAAACGATCGCTTGTGTTCTCGTCGACTTCCGGACAAGGGTCTGCAGAAAGGCGGAGACTCGCGATTTTCCCATAAGGATTTTCCTAATTGTCGTTGCGACCATTCTGGAGGAGGAATGTTCACTGGAAGAAGAGGAGTGTTTCGCGGGTCTCGCGAGTGTGCGTGACCGACGAGTGCGGGTCCGTCGAGTGAAAAGCAGTTCCTCGAACCGACTAAACGTTCGTCGTTACGTGAAAGGAACGGCAGGACCTAAACGGTCGTGTCTGAGAATGCAACACTACCGTGTGCACCGTGGGACTCGAATTTAATTCCGCACGCGAGCTGATACTCGAGCTGAGAGATCCTTCGAGGCCTGGGAAGCGATCATCCCTTCGGTTATTCCTTGCTTTCCCATTATACAGCCAATACAGCCAATACAGCCAAATTAATTTTCGCACACGTACACGTATGTTCTTGCTACCAGACCCGCAGTAGAGTGATTATTTTTTTCGACCAAGATTGAAACATTAAGTTCTATAGATCATAACGCAGTCGATTCTAATACAGTCAAAAGTGACACGTAAAATTACCTTGAAACAGGTAACGCTTTAGCTAGCGACGTTCCAAAAAATTCCACGCACGTGTGGATATTTAAACTGCACAGAATCCCTCCTCGCAGAAAAAACAGTATCGAAAAAGTAAAGAGGTAGAAGAAAAAAAAGAAAAAAAAAAAAAAAAAAAGAAGAAACGAAAAGAGCAAACGAACGAGATTGAAAGAACAGCAAACTGAACAGCGAATTCGCTCGCAGGCAATGGATAATGATCGAACACACACGAGCCCGAGAGCAAAGCGGTAACAGTCGAATTAGCGAAATCACGCGTACGCCAGGGCAATCGCTAAATCGTTGATACCGTATAATCGGTAATATCTTTCCGCACGCTAGAATGTCTCTTTTTCCTCCGCAAACTACCTCCTCTCCGGGCTATCAGTTTCTTCTAACCGTTTAACGAGTTTCCCCTCTCGTTGTTTTCGTCGTTTAGCCCTTGCGCGCCGAATCTTTTAAAGCTGTGAAAATTAACGCCAAAATGAATTTCAAACAATATTCTTATCTTTTTTTTTCCAAATTAACGACAATTACTGCATCCATTGTCGTCGAGCGTAGACGTAAACAAAAGAAAGGAAACGCCTGAGTAGGAAGGTTGCTAGTTCCAACGACGAAAAAAGAAGAAGGAAAAAAATAATAAATCATCAGGTCCCTGGTGAGAATCGGAACGATGCGAATCGCGTTTAACCCGCTTCAAATGTGGTCTCGCGCTCCTCTTGGCCGTCTTCTCACGGAAAAATCAGCCACGCTAATGAAATCGGCCGAGCACAATCGCTTTTATTGCGGAAACGAACGAGCTAAGCGAAACACTACCTTCGAGATCGTGTTTACGACGATCGACGACACGTTTCTAAATTGTTTTTTCCTTCCTTCGGATGGCATATGAATTTGATATTTCTCATTTAGTGAGAAAATGTATTGCGGTTGCAATTGGGTGTGTGTCAGGGATGCATGTTCCGACGCCATGTTTCGACGCCTCGGGTGCGCGTCCGTCCATTCGCGAATCGACCAAATTATTTCTACCGAAGGACTGATTTGAAATTTTATAAATTTATCCTTTAAAAAAGAATAAAAGACAAAGCGAAAACATTAAAAAATAAACCGGTAGCTAATAAATTCAGTCAGTAAAATTCGACATACCATTACAAAAAATGACGGCAGATGATATCGAGGTATAAAAAAGGTTAATTAGCCGCGAACCGAGTAATTAAATAAGTATATAACATCGAACGCAGTCCCTAGTTTCTTGAAGGCGATTTTCTATCTATTATCATCCAATTAGTCCTTCAATTAAGTTCCTTATAATTACCAGCTGTCGTCATTCATTCGTCACGTTGAAGAAATTATCTCAACGTTATCGATGAAACTTGTTTTGCGAAGCTTTCAGCTTTCCTTCGCTTAAGCATGGATCTTTATCGTTGCCCGATTATTTTTCTTTTCCTGTTCAATCAACTTTTACGAGCCATCGGCAAGTTCCTTTTCTCATTATTTCTGCTATTCTTAAAAAAAAAAAAAAAATTTCACCGCAGTGTATCGGCTTTGCACCATTTATTTTTGGCGACATTCCTTTTCTCGAAGTCTAAAAATGTCTTCTGTTTCAACAAAAAGGCCCCAAGAGTTATGAAAACATTCAATAAATAAAATATATTTATTCCTTCCGTTTTGATAACATTTCACACTCGTTAATTCTCGATATTAAATCTTCTTCGAGTTTATTGTTCTTATTTCGTTTATGAAAGATCGAACGAAGTATTGTGATTTCTGATTTACCGGAAACTCTAATGTCCATGCGCTAACCGCCAACGTTAGAACAAGTGGTATCGTTGTTCCAGCAACCGGTGCCATCTGATGGCTTGATCCTCAAGCTGACTAGCCGCCGCTCGCTTTTCCCTCCGAAAGGAGAAACACAGCGATCGACGGCAATGCCATCCGTGACTGGACACCGCATATGATTT